CAGTGAATGGAGATAGTGCCATTGCACTCCAGCCTGGGCAACAAAAAGCGAAACTGTCTCAAAAAAAAAAAAAAAAAAAAAGAGTGGGATTTATTTAGATTTTTTAATTCCCAAGCAAAAATGTCAAATGATTTGGCAGGGGGAGGCAGAAAGCAACTAATCTTTTAAGCCTATAGAGGAGAAAAGGAAGTAAAAGAACTGTAAAATACGCTAAAGAGGTCATTGGATCTGAGTAAAGCAAATATTCTCATTGATATTTATTTATCTCTAATATTCAGTTAAAGAGAAAATATATTAGTTGACTAAAGTCTACTTAGAGTAATATTGGCAATTCTGTCTGTATCAAAAGCAATATTCTGTTTGTATCAAATGCAATCTTATTCAGAATGTTTTTCTTTCATAAAAATTTCTGCACTTCTGAGTCATATACAGCGATGTTTCTTAAGATATCATCACCCCTTCTATATTCCTTTCCCAATTCTACAATATAAACTGAGATTGTAGGAGTAAATTTTTGGCCATGGGCAGGGGCTCATGCCTGTAATTCCAGCACTTTAGGAGGCTGAGGTAGGTGGATCATGAGGTCAGGGGTTTGAGACCAGCCTGGCCAACATAGCGAAACCCCATCTCTACTAAAGATACAAAAAATTAGCCGGGCACAGTGGCGCGTGGCTATAATCCCAGCTACTTGGAAGGCTGAGGCAGGAGAATCGATTGAACCCGGGAGGCGGGGGTTGCGCTGAGCCAAGATTTCACTCCAGGTGGGCAATAGGGCAAGACTCTGTCTCAAGAAGAAAAAAAATGAGAGAGTAAATTTTTAATTAATTAAATACACACACACATACACACACACACACACGCACGAGAGTGGTGATTTCTGGAACACTGTCAAAATACCTTGGAAAATAAAAGTTGCTTTTTGTTTGTTTTGGTTTTGCCACAGAAGAAATTCAGTTGAAAAGACTCTGATTCAAAATCCAAATTCAGAATCACCCAGCACTTTGAGAGGCCAAGGCAGGAAGAGTTTGAGCTCAGGAATTGGATAACAGCCTCGGCAGCATGGAAAGGCCTTTTCTTTACATAAAAAAAAAATGAAAATTAGCCTGGGCATAGTGGCATGTACCTGTGGTACTAGCTACTCAGAAAGCCAAAGTGGGAATTGGAGGGGGATTTGCTTAAATCCAGGAATTCCAGGCTGCAGTGAGCTATGATCATACCACTGCACTCCACCCTGAGAGACAGAGCAAGAACTGTCTAAAATTCAGGGCAAGATCTGTCTCTAAAATTCAGAATCAAAATTGCAATTTTCCTTCAGAGAAATATCACCATCATTAATAGGCAAAATAACCTTTTTATAATAAATTTTTAAGAATGTCTCACAGTTCCTCTTGTCTTCCTGAAATAATTCTTTTTATTCCTCAAACTGACTCTGAAATTAATATAGCAACAGACTTAAATTCTGGCTGCCATTTATGACCTGTGTGACTTTTATATAAGCCTAAATTTTCTGATCCACCTTACAAAACCATCTGGAGCTAATCCCAGAATGCAGAGAAAGTGTCATATCCAGCATTGAATCCCCAGCCCCTAACAGGCATATACACAGTGCTGAATGCATGAGAGCAGTAATAACATAAAAATGAAGGCAACATGTATATTAACATTATTTATAGGCATTAATTAATGAAAACAATTTTTAAAAGACAATTTTTATATGACAGCTAGTACACCTCATGGTACTATTAATTAAGCAATACTGCCTAACCCATCCATTGCTTTTCTCATTTGCTCTCTGGTTCTTGAAATTAAGGGCATTAAGAAGGATTCTGGTGTCTGTATCTGAATGAAGCAATGAGAGACAATCATATGTTACACTTGCCACTAGCATTAATTAATGAACAAGAACTTAAAAGATAACATGCAAATTACCTAGCTACCTAACACATTTTATGGCAATATTATGCATTATTTAAATATGCCTTCTCATCTCCTTCCTTATCTTTCTCATTTGTCCTCTGAGTTCTGGAAATAAAGTAGTTAATCACAAATTCCTAGGTGGTTTGAATAAGGGACAGAGAGGAGGGAGCATTGCAGGAAGTGATCAAAGAGGACTGCTAAAGGAGATGAACTCTGAAGGTCAGTTTTCATTTTGCTTGCTCAAGGGAGGAATGGACTACAGGTAAACTAGGGTGGAAAGAGACTAACAGACCAGATATTTTTTAAAAGGAGGAAAATAAAATTTAAAGAGACCCTCCCATGAACCATCTGCTTTCACATAATGCCTCATTTAACCTTTAATGGGCTAATAAAACACTCAAATCTATTCAATTATTCCATGCTATTTAACACTTATGATAAGCTCACCTCTGGCCACAGGGGGATTTCAAATTTCTTATTCATTGTAACATATTCTCCATTCAAAATATCAGTCTACTTTGGTTTTGAGGTGTATTAGAAAATAATATAGATAGGATCAACATGGAAGCCAACACAGAGAAAGAGAGAGTTATACTGTAGTTACAAAATAGTAAAAGGAGGATTTCTGAGTTCTGTTGCCTTCACTTTGGCTGAATAAGCTCCTATCAGACTCAAGCACCTCAGAAATGACAACTACAAACTCTCTGCAAATTTTTGTAAGAGTATCTCTTAGAAGAAGTCACATTTTGGTGTGAGTTTCACATTTCTATGGCTATAGGCTGACTAGGCATAGCATAGGTTGGAAATTCTGGTAATAAAATGGCTTTTTCTGGACAAACCAGCAAATTTCTGGGAAAACAGTCACCATAAAGTAAGGGAGAAATTCCAGAAAGCAGAGTCCTAGCAGAGGAAACATCAAATTCTGTGTAAAAACTTGCCCTAGTTCTCTGATTGACCCCTGCACCATACAGGCAATATCCAGCTAAATACCAATACACATATAGGCAGGCATCCCTTGGTATCTATAAGGAATGGAATCCAGGACTTCCATGAATACCCAAATCCACAGATATTCAAGTCCCTTATATAAAATAGCATAGTATTTCCATAGAGCCTACATTCATTTTCTCATATACTTTGAATCATCTCTACGTTACTTATAATACCTACTACTATGTAAAAGCTATGTAAATACCCATTATGCTGTATTTTTAAATTCATATTGTTATTTTTATTGGCTTTTTTCTGAATATTTTTGATCCAAATTTGTTGAATCCAAGTTATTGAAATCCATCAATATGGATGGAGGGCTGATTGTAAAAACATACATACAGATATGCAGATAGAGATAGAGATCTTCAACCAAGATATGTATTGCTAACAAAAAGATCAAGTTTGTAGTTTGAGTCCAACCTGATTGCTCCTAAAGCAAAAACATCAAAACTATTCAAGGAATGTAATGGTATTCAGAGCCTCTACAATATTGTTCTAGAACAATCAGGTTTGCCTGTCATGTAGGTGACAGACCAATGCACTGAAACAGTAGGAGTTGCAGCAGAGAAATAATAGAAGGATTGTATGGTAGCCAAATGAGAAGGTGGAAGGGAACCTTAAATCCACCTCTCCAAGGAATTTTGGCTTGGAATTTTTCAGGGAATTTTGGCTAGGAGAGGGCTGAGGAGCTAATTGCTTAGTATGTGTGGAATGAAATCTTTAAGAAAGATGTAAAAACTGCATTTGGGGGCTGAGTTAGTTCCTCAGAGAGGGTCTTCACACTGGCGGGCATCAGTGGACCCACTGGAATGCAGGATCTGGAAAATATCTCAAAATGGAAAACTTGAAATTTCTTAACATTAAAGATGTTATCTGTACAAGTCAGGACCTTATGATAGGAGCTACTTGACTTTTAAATAGTAATCAGCTGTACGGAAGTGGGCCATAGGGCAGTCTGGTTAATGCTTTGCTATGTTTCTACTTAAAGCTTATGCTTTTGTTAAACCTAGCAATTTAGTTTTGTCAATTTTATTAGGATGGCTTCAATATCACATTCACAATGTCTATGATATCATGTTTTTTCTCTAATAAGGGCAGGAATATGTGTGGATCCTAAATCTGTGTAATGTTCTCATTCATGTTACTTTGCTATTTCTTCTGTTTCCCCAATTAAAGTAAAAATTTTAAACCAAAGGCTCAGGAAAGTTATTTGAGAAATTCAAGTCTATTTATAGACAGTCAAGAATAGAATGGAAACTCCAAGAAATTGGAGAGGTACTCAGTACCTTGAAGCCTATAAGAAAGAAGACAAAGTAAGTGTTAGGGGCTAACGAAGGAATGTGAAACAGGCCTGACACAGAATTTGTCAGCAAGAGATTTACAACCATTATCCCCAGTGCCAAAATGAGCTTTCTAAAGCACCAATCCAAAAACATCAGTTTCTTTCTTATAACTGTTTGTAGATTCTGTTGTTCACTGCAGTGGTTCAAAAACTTTTCCTCACAGCAGAATACTCATTTTCCAATAAATGTTATGTGGAACCTGAAGGAATATAAAACAGACAAAAATAGGTCCAGGTAGGAAGTTTGGAGTATCACAGATCTGACTTCTCAGAATTTGCTCATGTATGTGGTAGCCCTGATTCAGCCTCCGGAACTCCAGAGAGCAGAGGGTCATCACCTCAGACCTATAGAGGTATTGACTTATATTAGCATCTGAAGCCTTGACAATGGGGTTCCAAACTACCTTTCCAATCTTCTCTGTCACTACCCCGACAATACAACCCAAGTTCCAACCATTCCAAATTCTCAGTAGTATTCCACATCTTGGCACTGTTTCATCTGTCTAGAAAATTCTTACTTACAAGATCAGTAGGAGAATTGCTTTTCCTAGGTTATCCAAGTAGAAGTGCTTCTCCCTTCCTGGGACTTTCCCTTTGAGAGATTTATACATATTCCCCTACAAAACCTTTAACCTACTGCATTGTAATTGTGACCTACCTAAGGCTGTGACCCACTTAAGTTACCCTCATCCTATGGCCAGTCTCAGCATGATGATACTGCAAAAGAAACTGAATCCATAACCAAATATCTTAAAGAATGTTGTATATCTTTATTATCAAGACACACTGAGGTAGGGTCACATAAAACCAGCATCAAACCTTTCGCAAAATTCCATGTAGGTAATTTTTTCTTTGCCTCTAATCCTATTTTTGCTGTATCAGTGTAAATATCTGTCATTCTATCGTCAAAATCTCCAGTATGCACTGAGTTCTTTCTCACTATCTTCTTTCTTTTCTAGAGATGATTCAAGCCCTTTCATATGACAATCAGCTTATTTAAATTACTATTAATCCAACCATTATTCTGCTCAGCCCAACAAAGACCCAATAGAGTCCAGCTTAGAAGGTAGGAGAGATGAAAAAGCCATAAATAAGTATTCTTTAAGATTTTCGTCTTCAATGTATGTGTCAATCTGTATTCCACAAGACTGCTCCCTCACCATGTCTTCGTTGTCGCTTCCAGGTTGTTTTATATTTTTTTATATCACCAATATTTAGCACAATGCCTGAGACAAAAATAGGTATTCAGTAAATACTGGTGGACTGAATAAGTAAATGAGTAATAAATGACTGAGTGAATGAATGTAATGCTCAGATTCCATAGAAAATTCATGTAATTGCAAAAACCTAACTTCTTACAATAGTAAATCCATTATCACTGTGTTCTCAGAGAACTATACTATCCAGTTAGTTAGAAGTAAAGTAATGTTTCTTGAATCATTTCACTCAAAGACATCATTGCTCATCTACTGAAACACAAGGCAGGCCATATTTACCATCATCTGGGTTGTCTGCACAGAGTCTCACATTGCCTTAAACACCTCTGCACAAAAGATGGCTTGCCAGTTTGTAGCCAAAAGGAAATCATCCCCAGGAAATAGCTTCATTTTTCCATTTCTTCTCCCTCTATTACATATATACAGGGTAGGTATCTAACACCTTACAGTGTTCCCCATTTGCTTCTACGTGATCAAATCTCCTTCATTCTGAATTATTTACTGTTGGAGTCATATAGCACTCTGATTTTTAGCAAGATGCTTTCTACTTGATCTTCCTAAGAATGGTGTAGATATGGGATAAAATATTAAGTTAGCAAAAGGGCACTTCCTCTTAGATTATAAAATTTATCATTCAAGGATTAAACTAAACTCTATTAGCCTTAACAAGGATGGTGGTTTGGATGAGAATCCTTTTATCCATAAGTTTCTGTCCCTCTTTTCCTTAACTCTGTCATGAAGAGAAAAATAACTCAGTCCTGGATTTCCCTCTTTCTTTTAAGTATTAGGAAAAGAAAAATGAGAATTTCAGGAATTCATGGAATCATCAACCCTCATATTTATTTTGGAAACTCTGAGTGAGAACTAGCCCTACATTCAGAGTAAAATGATTTTAAAAATAAATAAAGAAACATTCACATTCTTTCTGAGAAGCGTTTTTGACACAGAATACTCTTCACTGCTGCCTTCACATCTTTGTTCCTCAAACTATAGATGAGAGGATTAAGCATAGGTGTCACCACTCCATAGAAGAGGGAGATTATTTTTTCTGTGACTTGTTCTTTGTCTGCACCAGAAGAGTCTTTAGCCTTGGGCTTTGCATACATGAAAAGGATGGTTCCGTAGAATATAATGACCACCGTTAGGTGGGCAGAGCAGGTGGAGAAGGCTTTGCGCCTTCCTTCTGCAGAAGGAATTCTCAGAATGGTGGAGAGAATAAAAACATATGAAACAAAAATAAAAAGTACTGGCCCTACAAGGAAAATCATGTTAGCAACAACCATGCTAATAATATTTATGGAGATACTAGCACAGGCCAATTTTAAGACAGCCAAGATTTCACAAGTAAAATGATTAATGATGTTATCCCCACAGAAAGGAAGCCGCATTGCAAGGGACGTTTGCAACACAGAATTGATGCCTCCTGCAATCCAGGACCCAGCAGCCATGGACACATATGCAGATTTGTTCATGATGATAGGGTAGCGTAGAGGGCTACAGATGGCCACATAGCGGTCAAACGCCATCATACTTAGAAGGACACACTCTGTTGCTCCCATAGCAAAAGAGAGAAACATTTGCACTCCGCATCCAGGGAAGGAAATAGTTTTCTTTGAAGTTAAGAAGCTGCTGAGAAATAGTGGGATAGATGAACTAGTATAGCAGATGTCCAAGAATGATAAGTTACTGAGGAAAAAGTACATGGGGGTGTGCAAGTGGGTGTCATAAACACTCACAATGATGATGACTCCATTTCCCAATAGGATCACCAAATACATACACAGGACCAGCACAAAGTAAATGGCCTCTAGCTCTGGGTAGCCAGAAAGCCCCAGCAGGACAAATTCTGTCACAAAAGACTGATTAGACTTTCCCATGCTAATCTTTTCTTTGACCAAGAGAAATTCTGTAGTGGCTGGAATGTATGTGGATCTTTTATACCAATGTCTGTAAGAATCATTTGCGTTCTCGAATGGTTTCCCTTATGAGTAATAAAGACCTGTAAATGGGTACACAATAGCGTAAGAATATGTTATGGCCCTCTAAGTTAAGATCAGTTAGACTTCCAGACTTCACGAAGGAGTCCTCAGCTCTCAAAAAGAATATTCCTGTTAGAGAATAGATTAAGAACACATGTAACTGAGCTAGAATTATGTATCTTTTGCATTATGAATTTAAAATTATTTTAATACAATGTTACCATCATATTTTGACCAAATAATCCAGGACAAATAGAAAATGTATGAAATATTACTAGCCAACAGATATCCGACCATTTTAACCAATATTATTATCTGTAACCAAATAGTTTTCTTCACACAATGTTATACCTAACAAAATTGCTGTTCTTCAGTTACTAAAACAAAGCTGTATGTGAAAGTTCCACTTCAATGGTAATTTAATCTTAATTTCAGAAGAGTCCTGTGGGCTAAAGGAATAAATAGAAAAGATTTTTTTTTTTAGGAAAAATAACTTTTGGTTATTCCTAATTTAGGGGAAATATGAATACATGAAATATTCTAAGAATACTGACTAGAGAAGAAGTATTACTTATAAAATAATAAAGGAAAAAATTGAGATAAAATTATTCTTGTTTGTCTTTTTCAATAGAGATTAAGAGATCTTTCTAGGTCACCCTATTGTTCTGCCTGACATACACAATGAATAAAAAGTTGACCTCAGAAAAACTCTAGTGTACATTTCTTAGTCTATAATCAAACCATAAATAAATTCATAAATTAAAGAATTTCAGTAGCAAGGGATTTCCTCTTTTACCTCTAAGTATGAGAAAATACATATTGTCTTCTTCCTGCACAGAAGTCAGCTTTCTCTGTTCTAACAGCTGTTCTGCTGATCTTCCTCTCACTGCATATTCAGAAATACCCATGGTAATGAGAGGTAGGTCACTCAAAAAGTTCTTTAACACAGCAATTTGCTATAATTATTTGTATCCCCATTTGATGTAATATGCAGTATTTCTATATTTAAATGCCAAAAACAGAAGTCCTACATTTTTAATCAAATTGCTAGCCTCATAAGTTCTATCTCGATAATTTCACAAAGATAACTAAAAGAACTGCTTCTCAGTTCTCATTAAAATCAAGTAGCTGCCATTGATATTGTAAAAGCCAACTAATCATTGGCAAAATAGAAACTAGTTCTAGTAACGATGAAAGCTGGGGCTCTTTGCAGTCTTTTCACTAGCAGAGGATTCTTTAAAAGACCAGCCAATGAAGCATCAAAGCAACTTAAAGTGTTTACTGCTTTGAGGATGCTTCAAATCCCAAAAGTAATTTAAACATCACAATGTGGATTGGACAGAATTTTAAAACTTTCTAGTACTTTTGGGATGAAGTCCCTCAGAAGCAATTAAAACAAAGTTGCTAGTACAATTTAATTAAAGTTTAACTCATAAACAGTTACATATTATAGCTTTACATTCTCTGGGAAGAGCAAGCTTAAGAATGCTACAGAGGTAAAATGGCCAAGACATGGAAATTAGCATTCACTAAATCTGATGGAGAGATGTGGCTGTAACCTGTGACACTTAATTCAAAATGATGCTTTGTTCTTAATAAATGAACTGTTAGTCACATTTGTTTTGACCATTAATCCTGGAGTCTCAGAAGCCATAAGCTTCATACTGGTCTCATTGGCCCCTCTAAACAGCCATAATCATATGCACAGTCATTTTAATTTTGTTCATTCATACCCTCTGCTCAAATATATATGCAATATCCCAACCTCATTCAACCTGCCCTTTAGTTATGTCCACACTAGCATGGCACAACATGAGTCTGACCATAAAACAATTTCCTTGAGTGAGCAAGCTTTACTTTACTTTTTAACAGGAAAAGAAATTCTGACTTGAAGTAATTATTTATAACACTTATCATGACTATCTTTTGAAATGGATATCAACCCTTAAAGAGCTCAGTTATTTTACAAAAATATGACAAAATAATCTTTCAGCATGCAAACAAGTGGAACCACCATGTATAATGTTAAAAAGAAGGGAATAAAATTAGACAACAGTGCTCTTTGTCAGTGGACAATATTTTTAAAAAGTTACTGAGCCTGAGATGTAACATGATCCTGAAGAATGGGTAAACTATTTATGCCATGAAAAAATGGTATTATATGCTTCCACAAATCAAATTTGAAATAAAAGATTCTGAGTTGTTAACTTTATGCAAGAACATAATCAATATACTCGTTTGAAAGGGAGATGTTGGGCATGTTTTCTCAGTAATCAATATTCAATGGACAAAAGAATTCAACAGGTTGAAAGTGACACTGTCGAAGCTATACTATAATGCACATGGCGGGTAGACTGTAACTGTAAAACAATTTATAAGCAAACTCTGCAAAACAAAAAAAAATGTCGAGGAAAGCCAAATCATTAGAGAAATATAATTAACGAGGTACGTAATATAGATGCTTGTAATTTATTTATTTAATTTTTTTCTGAGACAGGTTCTCACGCTGTCGCCCAGGCCGGAGTACAGTGGCACAACCACAGCTCACTGCAGCCTCGACCTCCCAGGCTCAAGTGCTCCTGCCACTTCTCTTCCTCTCAAGTAACTGGGACTGCAGACATGTACCACCATGCCCAGTTAATTTTTGTATTTTTTGTAGAGACGGGGATTCACCATGTTTCTCAGGCTCATCTCAAACTCCTGGGCTCTAGAATTCTCCTGCCTCAGTCTCCCAAAGTGCTGGGATTATAAGCATGAGCCACCGCCACACCCAATCAGATGCTTATAATGTATTACGAACAACAAATACATTGTGTAAGCATTATCCATGCAATATTTTTATTTTATCACAGCACACTTATGCAAGGAAAGTAGAAATAATTCAAAGTTAACTGCATCATGTATTTTTGTTTGCTAATATGGTAACTCTAACTTCCTGTGACCAAGACTCACATGGAATTCAGTCTAAGCCTGATTGCCCCATCCAGCATCACTGTCAGTTCCAACCACTTGCAGGCATTGGAGAGAGTGTGAGACCCAGATCTCTGGCATTACTACTCATCATAATACTGCCAGACAGTCCTATTTTCAGATCTTTCAAATGAGAAACAGAGAATATTCAGTCTTTGTCTGTTTGGGCTGCTATAACAAAATACCAAAGACTGAGTGGTTTGTAAACAACAGAAATGTGTTTCTCACATCTCACAGTTCTGGAGACTGAGAAGCTCAAGTTCAAGGCACCAGCAGATTCAGTATCTGCACAGGGCCTACTCCTCACAGACATCTGTTTCCAGTGGAACCTCGCGTGAAGGAAGGGGTGAGTAATCTTCTGGGATGTATTTTATAATGGCAGTATTCCCATTCATAAGGGCTGTACTCTCATGACCTAATCCCCTTCCCAAGGACTCACTTCCTAATATCATCGCCTGGGGATTAAGATTTCAACATATAAATGGGAGGGGGGACATAAACATTCTGTCAATTGCACAGTGTGTTTTGCTAAGCCATTCTAGTGGATACAGGATTGTAACATTATCTGTTGTCTCAGATATACCAAGCACCACAAAAATATTGCTTATAGCTGCAACCCTCCATCCCTGTCCATAATAGTAAGAAGAAACAATTAAGATGAACTTATAGGTCCTCATGACCAACTACTACTCTTCAACATTTCCAGCTCCCGTCTATCATCTTATCTTCTCTCTGATTTTATTCAATTCAGTAAACATTAAGTGAAGCCTCCCTTGTTCCAGGAACCATTTGCCTGCTTCTGCCTTAGATCTTATGAATTACTCTAATCCCCTGCCAGATACTGTAGCCTATTATAAGAATGGCAAGCCAATGTCTGGGGTCTCACTACCTTGGTCAACTCCCTTAATGCCACCTGTCTATCTACACTCCAAGCAGAACTCTCCCTGAATTCTTTTTTCACATTTCTCTGCCTTATGCTGTACTCACACATCAATCCATGCTTTTCCTTTAAGTGGCTGATGTAGACTCCTTGAATTTTCTCTCAAACTCTTAGGTATATGGTGTTTGGATACCTTCTTCTTGTCCCTCAGGAAACTGGTATACCTGTCCGTTTAATTTTGTCTAAAGATAAACCAATAATACATGAATAATTAAGTACCTGGAACAAGCCTTTTCTTTTCCCTGAAACAGTTTACTTCACTAAACTATGGCTATCTTTTATCTAAATTGTGAATAAAAATTTAATTTTGTATTATGTTTAGAAAATTTCATTTCGAAACCTTGAAGTTAGACAAGGGTAATGTTGTTTTGGTTTGTTTTCTTGGTTTTTTGTTTGCTTGTTTTGTTGTGTTTGAGACAGGGTCTTGCTCTGTCACAGTGGCTGGAGTGGAGTGGCTCAGTCTCAGCTCACTGCAACCTACACCTCCCAGATTCAAGTGATCCTCCCACCTCAGCCTCCCAACTAGCAGGGACTACAGGCATGTGCCACCACACCCAGCTAATTTTTTGTGGAGACGTGTTTTCGCCATGTTGCCCAGGCTGGTCTCAAATTTGTGGGCATAAGGGATCACCCTTCTTAGCCTCCCAAAGTGCTGGGATTACAGGCATGAGCCACTGCGCCCAGTGATAATATTTTCTTACATTAGTGAATGCACACAGAACCTCATCTATCTCCTCAAGCTAAAGTTTATCAAAATAGTTAATATTAGCTATAATGCAGCTACATCATGATCAGTATATTTACTCTGTCAATCAAGAGAGTCTCTGTCACAGCCTCATTATCATTCTTTTTCTTGCTTGTATCCTCTCTGTTTCTTAACAGTGGGTTTTGTCCAGATTGGAGAGATCGTTAAAACGCAGCTAGTAAATACCAATTAGTCCGTGATGTAAAGAACAGAACAAGGACATAAAATTGGAACCAGCTAACTAGAATTCAGGTGGGTTATTCCCAAAGCCACATAGTGGAAAGATCAGGGCTGTGATTAGAAAAACACAGAGCTACAGATTAATAAATATTGTTGAGCTAGCCAGAGACAGAGGAATGGGAAAGACCACAATGGACAATATAACTTAACTCAGCTGAAAGACGAATCTCAGTGCAAGTTCTGTTTCTTTCTTAATAACTTTTTAACCTAATTAATCATTCAATAAACAAATCCTTTGCTAGTTTGCTCTTTCCAGAAACTAGAAATATATTATTTTTAAAAAATAATAAAGTGTTAATTATTACAAGTAATATATTCCTAGTTTCTGGAAAGAGCAAACTAGCAAAAGTTTCTGACTTCTGCTCCTTTCAAAGGTGGAAATGCAATAGAATTAAGATAACAATGTATCAACCTGAAAAGGAAAATGAAACTAGAAGATACTCAAGGAAACAGAATGTAGCCACAAGACTTTTGACAAGAAATCTACTGAGGGAGACTTTTAAGGCGGCTTCTTTCTCTATTGCATTACCGTACAGATATTATGTTTGAACTTCCTCCAACCTTCACAAACTAAGGGAGACAAGGTAACATCAGAGTAGGCCAGAACTAAGGAGAAGTGAAGAATGAATAACCAACCACATGGGCACACAGATCCATCTACCTGGAGAGTTCTCTGCTTCTATATTATCTCCCTGCAAAAACTCGAATATTTTAATCAATTTTAAAAAAAGACTTAGAATAACTTCGGCCATACACGGTGGCTCACACCTGTAATCCCAGCACTTTGGGAGGCTGAAGCAGGCGGATCACAAGGTCAGGAGTTCGAGACCAGCCTGGCCAATATGGTGAAACCTTGTCTCTACTAAGAATACAAAAATTAGCTGGGCATGGTGGTGGGTGCCTGTAGTCCCAGCTAATCGAGAGGCTGAGACAGAAGAATTGTTTGAACCCGGGATGTGGAGGTTGCAGTGAGCTCTCACTGGACTCCAGCCTGGGCAACAGAGTGAGATCCTGTCTCAAGAAAAAAAAAAGGGGAGGGAGGGAGGGAGGGAGGGTGGGAGGGAGGGAAGGGGGGGAGGGGAGAGGAGGGGAGGGAAGGAGGGAGGAAGGAAGAAAGGGAAAGCGTAATTTCCGGGCTGAGGTAAAGGAAAGTGCCCAGAGATTCCAGGTTTCCAGGTGGCAAAACAGATTTGAACATATCCAAAGAATAGTGTAATGGGCTCACTGCCCTGGGAGCCCCAAACTTTAAACTCACCTAGGGTAGCCAAGTTAAGTGTTTTGCCTTTCCCTTATAAGATACATACTACTAACCAAAGTACTGTAGGGGAAAATGAGCTCTGTAGAGAAGAATGTAATAAGTGGTGAACACAATCATAATAAAAGAAAGACAATAAAATGAGCAGCCTGACATTACATGATGCATAATTCATAGAACAGAGCAAAAATGTTGACAAAGAATAAATATCCTCAATGAGATAATGAAGAGATATTGGTGGCAGGAAGCAAGAATAAGCAGTTACAATATATATGGTAATACTGTATCTGAAATATATACAGCTGAAATAAGGAATTAAGTACATAAAATATATAATAGTATAAATGTTATGACCATAAGGTGGGTCATAAAATAAGCCTGAAATACTTTCAAATAATTGAAACCAGTCATAGAGTGTTCTTTGACCATACAGAATCAAGCTAGATTTTTTTGAAAAGGAAAATAGCACTCTAAAAAAAACCCCAAATATTAGGAACCTAAACAGTATACTCCTAAGTGATACATAGAATGAAAAAGAAACCATAACAAAAATTAAAACTGTTTTTGAACTGAAAAATAATGAAGATAATAAAAACTTATGGAATCCAACTATAGCCAGTGATTAGAAGAAAATGTGTAGCTCAAAGTACATATATTAGAAAATGATCTTAGATTCTATCTCAAAGTTTACAAAAAAAGGAAAATGAACCAAAAATGCTCAAAGAAGAAATTAGAAACATAAGAGAAGAATCGAGGAAATAGAAAACAAACACACAATGGAGAGGAACAACTAAACCAAAGTTGATGGTTTTTTTGTTTTTATTTATTTATTTATTTGAAATGGAGTCTCGCTCTGTCGCCTAGGCTGGGGTGCAATGGTACGATCTTGGCTCACTGCAACCTCTGCAACCTGTTCAAGTAACTCTCCTGACTCAGCCTCCTGAGTAGCTGGGATTACAGGTGCCTGCCACCATGCCTGGCTAATTTTTGTATTTTTAGTAAAGAGGGGGTTTTGCCATGTTGACCAGGCTGGTCTCGAACTCCTGACCTCAGGTGATCTGCCTGCTGTGGCCTCCCAAAGTGCTGAGATTATAGGCGTGAGCCAAGGTGCCTGGCCCAAAGTCGATGTTTTTAAAAAGTAATTTTGTAAACTCCAAGAAAAACTAATCAAGCTAAAGAGAAAACCAGAGTTACTAAATCTGAAATGAAAATGGAGATATCACCTCAAGGCCAGTATTAAAATGATAATAAGTAAGCAATATTTGTTTATTTATTTATTTGAGACAG